CACGGCAGTGTTTAAATTCAATCAAGTGTCAACCATCTTAAAATGTGCGAACATGGGTAAAATAATCTCTGAAAATGTTGTAGAACGAAGTTTTAAAGCAATTAGTTTTGAATCGGTTGAGCGAGCATTCAATTTCGAATTTTAGAAAATTCTAGATTTGAAATAAGCTTTTACCTGAGGCAAATTATTCTTTCATTCACTGAATTCAAAATAAAGTTTATTACCATTGTCAAGTTCGAAATGAAACATCGGAATCAGCTCTGGAGTCTCCGAAGTGGTTTACAAATGAGATCACGGTATTTTTTCGGTTCTTTTTTTTTTTTTTGGATGAGGTCTATATTTATAAAATCATGAAAGATTCGATTTTTGCATGTTGTTTCTGGCCATCATGCAGCAGTTCGATATACTGTACTCGCATGAGCTAATTGACAATGACTAGTTTGAAATTCTATTGCTTCAAGAAAAAGTCCGAAGAACATTCAGTGGCCTTCATGGGGAATTTGAAGCCGAATTTATCACGATGAATTTTCATCGAACTTTCATTATCCTGCATGAAGAATTACTAAATTCGTGAAGTGACGCTTCATAAAAATTCATGAATATTCTTTATCCGAATTCGCTATGTTTTTTTTTTTTCAAGAGACCAGCATTTCAAAATGTTTAATGAAGAAACGAGTCTCAAGTTCGACTCAATTCTGAGTTACACTGATGCTTAGAGTTGTATTTCATCGAAACGGGTGCAAACATTTTTTCCAATTTAATTTGTTATATCATCAAAAGGCAAGCGTTTAAAAACGTTTACTATGAAGGGTGGCAGTTTTGGCTTGAATCTTCATCCTTTCATTTCGCATGAAATTTCTTTTGAAGTACTACACTGTTTTTCTTTTAAAGATGATCAGTACAGAGGATCATTTCAACATTCAGATATGACAGACAAAGAACGGAAGTACGAAATGAGTTTTAAAATTTTTTTCCCGAATGCCCTGAATTTGGAATTTTAATGCATGCTTTAGCTCGAAGATTACATGGACGAAGGTTCACTCAGCTATACCTAATTTGTCACGAACAGAAAGCACGAAGAACTATAATAATCCCATCGCAAAAACGTGAATGTTAAAAACGCAAAATCAGCATAATTTCATGGCAGAAATCAAGAATGAATTGGCGTCCATCATCACGAATTACAACCTGCCGTCGCAGCGCCAAGCACGTAAAGCAAAGTGCGCATGGTTTTTGGGGTGTTATATATATTCGTCTAATGTTTTATCTTATTTTTATTTGTGCACTATTGCCTTAAGCACGGGAAATATATTAACGCTTACTTGTATCTCGACACGGTGGACGGAACGGAAGTGACGTGTGCATCACACGATTCACGTCAGAGAATCGGCAGTGAGGAAAGAAGGCGTTTATGCAATAATTGCCTCCGACGTTATATAATTCAGATTTTTTTTTTAGATCCGGACGAGAAAGCAAACAAAACAAAAAAAGGAAGCAGATCAGATGATGCTTCTTCATCTATCTATCTCCTATGTAATAAGGGTCTCGATTGCATTTGTGCGAATCTCTCTTTCTATATTTATTCATAGCTCAGCAAGCGACGATGCCAACTTCACGTTTGTTTGTGTCTGCGTGTGTGTGTGTGACTGTATGTTCTTTTTTTTTCATCTCAAAGTCCAAAGATAATTAAAATCACCGGCAGCGATTGCGCAAAACTCGAAATTGGCCAACTGTATTCGGTCGCGCGGGCCCTTGACGCGCTATTCTGGCATCGGGCTTCGGCCAGTGAACAGCAGGAACGCATTAAGGAAGGTCGTGAAAATTTTTTCACAGTTTTCTTTGGTTTTAAAATTAGTATCGCGTCAGAAGTTGTAATTAATTCAATCCCTCTGCAACCCAGTAGAAAAAAATTTATATTACGCGGTTTCGAAGAACTTCATCTGCAGCATCGCGAAAATGAACTCGAATATGCTGATGTTCGGCGAACAATGATTTAGAATATTTTTTCAACGAAACATTTTGAAGTGTGACGGTGATTATACAGTGTATAGTAATTTTTAGAATTCATTCAGAAGTTTTTACTACTAGCAGTCGCGGTTCGTGCATTTCGTTTCACGCGTACCAAAAACCCCACAATATATATAAGCAGATTACAAAATAGAATAAAAATAAACACGTGATAACGGAATTCGTGCCCTTTATATAATTGCGAATGAAATATCTCGACACGGTGGACGGAACGGAAGTGACGTGTGCATCACACGATTCACGTCAGAGAATCGGCAGTGAGGAAAGAAGGCGTTTATGCAATAATTGCCTCCGACGATATATATATAGATATATAATTGAGATTTTTTTTAGATCCGGACGAGAAAGCAAACAAAACAAAAAAAGGAAGCAGATCAGATGATGCTTCTTCATCTATCTATCTCCTATGTAATAAGGGTCTCGATTGCATTTGTGCGAATCTCTCCTTCTATATTTATTCATGGCTCAGCAAGCGACGATGCCAACTTCACGTTTGTGTGTGTGTGTGTGTGTGTGTGTGTGTGTGTGTGTGTGTCTGTATGTCCTTTTTTTTCTTTCTTCTCGAAGTCCAAAGATAATTAAAATCACCGGCAGCGATTGCGCAAAACTCGAAATTGGCCAACTGTATTCGGTCGCGCGGGCCCTTGACGCGCTATTCTGGCATCGGGCTCCGGCCAGTGAACAGCAGGAACGCATTAAGGAAGGTCGTGAAAATTTTTTCACAGTTTTCTTTGGTTTTAAAATTAGTATCGCGTCAGAAGTTTTAATTAATTCAATCCCTCTGCAACCCAGTAGAAACAAAAAGTATATTACGCGGTCGCGAAGAACTTCATCTGCAGCATAATCGCGAAAATGAATAGCTTATACGACTACAAGCCGCTTGTTACTAAATCTTATAAAAAAGTTGCTTTGTAAAACTTCACACTGCCACTAATATGTCACATATCATTAAAAATCTTAAGTAAGTCTTCAAAAATGATGATCGGAAAATTATTTTCAAAAATTTTACTTCCATGAATCGATCATTCGTATAAATATTTTCATGGGTAAAACTGACTCGAAAATAGGTTTCTAAACCCGTGCTATTGCCAAGTAGCGATTCATTAATTGATTAATTGATCAGCAAGCTTTATTTTCCGTTTTTCAACGTTCACAATTTCTCAATTATATATTCCAGAAAAGGTTCGTTATATGCACATTGATATTGGCATCGATATTAACTGAAAGTTCAAACGTTTTGGGCAGGTAATAAAATAAAATGAAAAACTGGAGCACGGAAAATTTTGATGAGTTTGAAAATTTCGTGCCATTTAGAAACGATTTTACATCCCTGCTGCGTGTTTATTTTATTTTCTAAAAAATAAGAGAAGAAAAGCGAAAAAAATGAAGATGTTCTTTCATGCGGAGAAGATGAATTTTGAGGATAAATACGATCCTTGAGGGATTTTCGAACGCACTCGAAGAATGTTTTAACCAAATTATTTTGTTCGCATCGCTTGAACAGTGTTGGAAAGGAAGTACTGTATATACTGTACATTCTCCAGAGAATTTCTTGAGCATTTTTGGAATATTCAAATGAGGAATTACGTCATTTTCGGGGTAATAAAAGACGTGAGGGGAAACCGCAACTCTTGCACATCTTCTGGTTAACTGCTTCGCCGCAAAAATATCTTTGGAACAATATTCTCGCCGATTCCAAACCAAAAGTTTTTTTTGCTTTTCTTTACGTTATTACTGTATTGTTTGTTTTAAAGACACGCCAGGAATTACGTAACCAAAACCCAAGATTACTTGGAAAATAATGAATTATTCAAATATTCCCATTGGTGCGTGTGAGAGGCGATGCAAAAAAGTGTTTTGCCGAGCACGCCATGCAAATTTTGTGCTCGAGAAATTAATTCTGCGCATAATTCCCCCATTCCGCAAATTCAGGATGGCGCAACATCTACGCTTATTGAGGCAAATTCAATCTATTAATGCAGCATCATATTTTTTTTCTAATACTTCGAATCTTGAAAGTTTTCTTGTGCAATTTTTCCTTCAGAATCTTCCAACGAGCACCTATAAATGAATTATTTTCGCCTTAGCATTTCATGGGAATACTCGTATGCAGAGATATTTTTTCGCTCCATCTTGATTTTCTGAACATATTGAAATAATTCGGAATCTCTTGCATTTTGCGAGAAATCAAATTTGTGGATTTCAAAGTGAACGGGAATATTACCCCCTGGAAATTGTAATATTGCCGTATTCATTTGAATAGACAGCAGTACGCCATTTCAACTCTAAGTCGTTCCGCTTTTTTTTTTTTTTTTTTTCGGCTTAGAATAATGCTTATCAAATCAAATGAGTTCATTAATCTTGCTCAAGTTCAGCGACTTGAATCTTTCGAACGCTTCTAATAAAAATTCGAATCAACTGCAAATTTATAGCCATATATTGGTGATCGAACTGTTTATAAAAATATATTCTCATTTCGCAGATTTTATTTATTGGCAGGTAAATCTGACATCATCGAATAGTGAAAATACTCTGGTGTGTTTTTTTAGCCAATTTTACGGTGCCACTCTTGAGTTTATCGAGGGAATATATTTTTGTTGCTGCGTTTCGTAGTGAAAATATTAATAAAATGAGAAATCAATGTGAATTTCGTAACGAACTTTTCACCCTTGAGAGCTTTTCGATAATTTTAAAAATTTCCCTGGCGGCATTTCTAATTATTGAGGAAAACAGCTTTCTGCAAATGTCAATAAAAATTAATCATGAATTAATTTAAAATAATCTTAATAAGCACGAAGAATTCCTGCGTCACGCTTGAGTGGATATGGAATAAACTGGGAATCGTGCTTCAATTATTAAAATTTCTAGTCAAATGTTATTTATCTATTGCACTAATGAAATACATGTTGGATCTTCAAGTTTTTTGAGCCATGATTGATCAGCAGTTTACTTTATATTTCCACGCAGTCAACATGGCCAGGGTGACAAGTGTAATCGTGCTCATTGCGTCGCTAATCGCGGCGAGTGTCGGCGAACCTGACGGTCACGGCCATGGACACGGCGGCGGCGGTGGCGGCGGCGGCGGAGGCGGCTACGGGTAATTAACTTCGAAATCCCACGGGGGATTGATTGCCTCCAATCAGTTCATTCACTCAATTCCTGAGAGTGATAAAACTCCAACAAATGATGTGATCCTTGCGTCTAATTCCTCGCGGAAAGTTGGGACAAACGTTTTACCTCAGCAATTAGTGCTACGCATCATAAAATTGTAGCCGAAAAAAAAATAGAGAGAAGGTTCACACAGAAATTCAATTTTGGGATATCATAAATGATACGCCAACTGCATTCGAGCGAATTAAGAACTAAACATTTTCACGTCGCATGAATTATTCCTGACAGAGTATGCGTACCTTTTCTGAAGATGAAACGGAAAATTTATGCAACTGTACAAATTCGCTAAAAGGTATTTACAGTAATTCAAAACAACTTATTCCAGATAATCCCTCAAACCCGTTATTCAAAGAAATGAAGCAGACGCGTTTTATTAAACTTCTTCTCTTTTAGAACTCCATCTGACAAAAGTGAGAAACTTTATGGCAATTGATTAAGTAATTTGTGTCATAGAAAAATACCTGAACCGCAGCGAACGTCACGAACTCGAACGTTTCTTTCGAAAATTTTATTTTCTACCGCACCTAACTTGAATTGAATAAATTTCTGCAGGAGTCAATCTGAAGCGTTTTCGGAAGTGCAAGACATTTTTGATCCCAAAAAAATATGTAAAAAAATATTTCAATCGTTTTTTATTTATTTTATTTTTCATGTCAGGTGATTCCGCTCACTTTTGAGCTCGATCGACGGAATTTCAAATAAAAATTCGGAATAGATTTTGAATAACCCAGGTCCTCTTTAGGTACTTGGGCTCCATGTCTTCATCATTACGACATTACTGTATTTTGAAAGCGTGAAAATTAAAAGAAATATGAATAAAACAGAGTTTCACCGTTCAGCAACCTGAATTTAAACATTGTTGGTTTAATTTTCTACTTCGATTTCAGGGCGCCACAAGCTTCTTACGGTGCACCACAAGCTTCTTATGGAGCACCACAACCTTCTTATGGAGCACCACAAGCTTCTTATGGAGCACCACAGGCTTCATACGGCGCCCCGCAGGCCTCTTATGGCGCCCCACAGGCGTCTTATGGCGCCCCACAGGCTTCTTACGGCGCACCACAACGCTCATACGGCGCCCCAAAGGCATCCTACGGCGCCCCTAAGGCGACTTACCGACGCCCTGCACCTCCGAAGAAAGTCGTCGTTTACCATCATCACAAACACGTCGTCGTGCACAAGAAAAAGGGCGGCGGTGGCAAGAAGGGAGGCGGGAAGAAGAAGGGCGGCGGCGGCGGCAAGATGAAGAAGAAGCTCAAGCAGAAGATCGCTCTCAAGAAGGCCAAGTTGCAGCTGAAGAAGAAGTTCAAGCAGCAGAAGAAGGCCCTCAAGAAGGGCTTGAAACAAAAGTACAAAGCCAAGAAGTCCAAGCTCAAGCAAGCTCACAGAAAGTAAGTGAATGTCATCCCACGTTTTTTTCTTTTCTTACAGGAACAGTAAGTTTATTGAGAGAAAAAAGGCAAGTATTTTGTATGCCCGCGTTTGGCTCGACAGAAAAGAATTTACCGCCATCTATTAATGCTGTCTGGAAATACGCACAGCATTTTTTTTTTTTTTTGCCTGATGCTCTTTCCATTTCAGTGTACGTCGTACGTATTAATCTTTGATTCCTTGAAGAAGAGATCATTGAAATATACAGATAAATTAGGCATGCCCGCAGTAAAATTCAAGTTAACAATTTCAAAGCCGTGGATACTTCAATAATAGGCCTCGTAAAAAATTAACATGGACATCATGGAAATATTTCTGCGCATTTTTTTTTTCAAAATAAGTATTTGCTAATCTACGCTCTCCACTCAAGCAGAAGGCATGCTTTTCTGAAACTAATTTATTATTCAATTTACAATTTCATTTTTCAATAAGACGACGAAATAAAATGGCTGCAATTGTATAATATACGGGTATATCGTGAAAATTTAATTTGAAAATATGATCCAACGGAGAGTTAAGAATAAATCTACTAAAAAAATGCGAGGCCGAGGAATCTTCTGTTGAATCTCCGCATGCATATAAGTATTATAGTGCTTCGTGTATTTCGCATTTTTTTCTTTCAAATTTCCATTTGACTTATATAGTCTATAAAGCAACTGCCTCGTTCAATCTATTCTGTATTGCTCTACTAAACATGCAAAAATATCACCAAACTGCGCAACTTTAACGTCTTGAAAATCGAACAAACTCAAAGAATAGTGCAGAAAATCATCGAGAAAATTATTTTCAATTCAACGAAGGCCAATTTCAAATGCAGGCATAAAAATACAGTACAGCTATAAAAAAAGCAGCTTTACCCTAGGTTTTATATCCAAGCAAGGGAACGAGAATCATCAGTATACAGTAATTGATTATTTATTGTTTACGGTTTCACGTTGCATGTCGAGAGAAAATTTAAGATTAAACCGATTATAATTACTTGAACCAAATCATTGCTACATCGATTTCAGAAATTATCATTCGCAGTAGAGTTGAGCAACTCGAACCATTTGTAGCCTGACCTTTGCAAGCCTCAATTTAGGATGACCACATCTCTTTTCTGGTATGATGCACTACAGATACGAATGGCCAGAAAAAAAAATACAGTAAAAATAAATGGGTCAGATGTAAGCCAGGAGACTCAGGACTCGGAATTTTTCTGCAATTTTTGGCGAACTGAACTGCATTGATCCACATCAATGCGCTGCCGAGAAAGAAATAATAGAAAAACAAACACAATTTTGCGCGTTTATAATCTGGGATGCACAAAAACGTATTTTCGGACAAATTTTGCTTTTTCCACATGTTATCGTGGAGATATTTATTCGAGTATTACTGCGTAAATAACAATCGTCTAAAGTTTGGTGCTATTATAACCAAAATGAAAAATCCCCCAATAATGTTATGAAATATATGCATTTTCAATCCGCAATCCTTGAAAAGCTCGAATTGCCACATCAAACTTCACCAGCGGGGAAAATCCACACTTCGTACTTTTCAAACTATAAAAACAATATTTCTAAATATCATCTGTTAGTTATAGACGAGTATAATTGTCATCAGGTGAGAAAGTGTGAAAAAAGTCGACTGGCCAAGAAGTATTTGCTTCAGTTAGTTCATAAAAAGGCTGTAATTTCATTCATTGAAAAAATATGTTTCAAATTCTGCAGAATTTTCAGATAGATATCTATGCTGCACGAATGAATTCCAGCATCGAAACAATTTGCGTATTGATTTTTTAATAGTCCTTATGAGTAAGGTCGTAATCTTCTCACATCTCAATTTCAACAATGCACAATAGTTATTCCATCAATGCAAATTGGTCATGTTTATTTTCCGAAAAAAAAAAGAGAATCGGTTGCAACAGAAATATTTCCTACACTGATTTCATGAGCTGCATGATGAAAAAACGTCATCTATTATGAGTTTATGGCAGCCTCAACGATTTAAAAAAATCAACGAATTTTTCTCATCTTTATCCATCGTTGAAACATGACTTTTGAGTCTTGACCTCAATTTCTCTTCAGAAGAAACTCACGCAAAATAAAAAAAGGCCAAGACATAAAAACGACAATATATTGCGATGATCGTCCGCATCGTTGTGTCATGCATACGAATAGGAAAAATACCCGTAAATTCACTGAGCTTTTTTTCATTATCCATTTTCAGCCAGGGTTTTCAAAAGATAATTTATTCCGTCATTGAAAAAAATAAATCATAAAACGTCCCGGAGAGGAGTATTTCTCTTAAATGTTAACGATGCCGAGGTATTTCTTTCGCTCAAGGTTTTCCGAAGAAACTTCGGTCGCTAAAAAAAAAATAATAATAAAAGGGGATTGTATATGAGAGCTAGGTACTGTATATATACTGTACAGTATTGTACTGTATAGATACTGGGCCAGAAATTTGCGCGCGCGCATGACCCAGAAAGGTCTCGACGATCGTTTCTATTTTCCATTCAAGTCTTGTCGTTTCATTTTTATACGGCCTTCATTTTAATGTTGTTTTTCCTTTCCTTCTTTTATCTTTTGTTTGAAAAGAGAGAGAGAGAGAGAGATTGCTATGTATAAGAGGAATATACGTTGCGATATGATGATGGCAGCGCGCATGACGCATACGCAGCAGCAGCAAGGGAGATAAATAGTTGGCGGTGTGCGAGTTATGAAGCTCTGGTTTGTGATGATGAGTGACGCAACAAACACGAGAGGGTTCTAACTAAAGTTCTCGGAATAGAAATTGAAATGGCATGTATAATTGAGCTGGAAAAAAATTTATTCTTTATTAGGGAAAACATATTCCTTTGGCATGAGAAGAAAAAGCAGCCCTGTTTCAAAATGTTTTTAAAAATAATGTTTTGCAAGATTCACCCTGGTAGAGTTTTACTCTCCACTACTTGGAAGATGAGGCGCCCTTCCTGCAGTTTTTGTTGTTGTTATAGCCCAGCTTTCCCCTCAGAATTCTTGAAATCAACGTGGCATTAATTCCAAGGGTTGCCTCCAGCTGCAGGTCTTCCAAGCGAATTCTGTCATTTTCATTAACTGCCGACTTCATCACAGCCGCCAAGAATGTGGCTAACTTTTGGTAGACCCCTTGTATGAGGTCCCTTTTGCGGCCTTCAAGCAGCTGCCTCCTGGCACTAGTTTAATTTCGACATACAGCTGAATCTCCCTCGAGCTCAATATTGCATCTCGCGAGTATGAAAAAATAAATAAAATAATAAAAATTCTCTCCATTATATTGTACATCGCTTGGACGCTTGCTTTCTTCCCCCCCCCCCCCCGAGGAAATACAAATATTTTTCTTGAGATGCATATGAGTATATACACAGTATTGTATAATACGGATAATATTTCTGTATAACTCGGGATTTTTCTTACCGGAATGAATGGGGGATTTATGGAATGTATATATATATACAGTATATATTTATGTATTTATATATATCGACCTGGTGTATAAATCATCGTTCGTCTGATGGTGGTTGTTGATGAATAGACATTTTTTATCCCATAGATTTGTCCTTATTCTCAAGAGAAAAATAAATTTTCTATGAATTTCGTCGATTTAGAAAAAATAATTTCAGCGAGACATACATACTGTGTATGCCCATCATGAAACTCCAAGAATATTTTTCCATCAGGAATAAATGCCATATATTTTGAAATTTATGCCCATGTTAGTTTGAAATATTCACAGTACAGTATTTATCTGACAAGAATTGTCCTTCTCTTGGAATTTACGCGTGTTTACTAAAAATCTATTTTAGTTTTGTCATCCTTATATTCTTGGGCATGATATGATTTTGTAATTGCATCATCACGGTCTTGACGTCTCGGGTAAAATATTCAAAATATTTTTGAAGTTAAGTATACGTCGCATGATAAGGAATTTCGATACAGAAGTTATTGGGTCCTTCCTTTCGGTCACCATTAGTGTTTTGTTATGCGAAATGCGCTTCTGTCCTGATTATAATAATGGTGGATCTAATTTTTGCGTGTACAGCACCCGGTGGCTTAGGTGACAATTATCCGTTTTTGTAGTTTCTAAGGGATATTTCTAAAAGCAATCTCTTTTCTAAGATCTGGAAAAAGAGTAGGTGCTCGAAATACGTAGTGATGAAGAGACTTGAGATGCAAACTCACAGTGCGCATACACTTTTAAAAATAAAAATTGCTTTATTTCGTTTATATATTCCGGTACTTTCAGGAAGAAAATGTCCTTTAAAATATGTGTCCCACGAAAGCGTGTCAAAAATTCTAAATACAGTAATATGATATAATTCACATTGATTCTGCGTCATCAAAATTGAGTTTGAGACGCGTCGACTATACGCATTATTCACACAAATATGTGGGTTAAAAGGGCATTTTATGGAATTGCATGCAAGAATTTTCTTCATGAAATGAAGATACGTTTAGTTAATTCAACTGCAATCCTGATTCAACTCTTTTTTTTATCTTTCCAGCCAAGGTAGCAGCAGCTCATCAGGTGGCAGCTCATCTTCCGGAGGCGGCGGCGGCAGTTCATCGTCATCCGGCGGAGGTGGCGGTTATGGCCGATAAAATGTGATCATCAATTCACCGAAAATTGTGAAACCACGGGAAAAAAACCAAGAACACCCAGCTACAAAATCCAAAAAATGTTAGGACCTTCTACAACAAGATCCATGTATTAAAAAGTTGCGCAATATCTTTTGGATATGAGATCTGAGAGATAGCAATCGAAATGCTTTCTTTTGTTGCGTTACGTTTGTACAATACTGTATCTTGATTTCTTTCCAAAATTGATGTAGGATATATAAAATGTACAGAATGAACTAGTCACGAAAGATTGCATTAGGCGATAAATTTAACATCACGTATACTTACAAGCCATGTCATGAAGCGGGATAACTTATATATAGGGAGTCTTTTGTAAGTAATCAAAAGCAAAAGCTAAAAGGAAAGAGAAGCAGGGGAAATATATAAACATATTGTAAATACTGTACGCTCTAAAACACGAATATATCAACGAAGCTACCTACAATTAAGGTGCTATAATTTTGCATCATATTTCAGTACATTTATTGCCTGTATACTATTTGGAAAACCGATTCAGAATATCCTGCTCAACACACCAGCAGAAGAGATGGTTTAACACACGAAAAATGAATATATTGGTTCATTGTAAATAGCATTATACTGCTAAATGCGTTGCGCGAATTCAGGTTTTTGGTTGTGCCAATGTTTCATATACAATGTCATATTGAATTTTTGTTACCATTCTGTACCATTTTTACCGTTGAAATATACGTGTATACGAAAAGAAGTTTTGCAAAACTGCCGTGTTTTCCTCATCCTGTTGATCGGACCCACTTCTCGTGTTTTGTGACTTTACTTGCTTATGTACGTCGACTGACCAAAAATTAATTTGTTTTCAAAATACTTCGATCATATTTGCTGTTTTGGAATGCGAGGTACTTTTGGTAAGTTTTTTATGTGTGCAATAGTAGTAGACGTGCTCATCAAGTACCACGTGCCTTCGTGCATCTTATACCTTCACCTTAATTTCTATAAAAAAATGTATCTTCAAATAAAACCTCCATCCTATAGTTTTACTGTACAGTATATGGAAATTTTTACTCTCGACAATGAAATAAGCGCTAAAATTCGGAATGTTGTCTATACTGTATAGTACAGTACCGTTCTAATTTGATTGTGTTGCATTTATTTCATGTTTCCATCTGCCAGTTCCATTAGACCCTAAATATATTTTTCTCAAATATTTTCACGTAAATACTATGTTCTTACTTTGCGCCTTACTCTATGGCAATGTGTTAAAAGTTCAATGTATACCAAAAAGAGAAAAACATATAGGAAATGTATGTTTGAGTATGATGCGCACCCAAATTTTAATGCAGAGTTTTTGGACATAGAATGCATCAGGGACTGCAAAATAAGAGACACGTCAAAGATAAATACAAATTAGGAATCATTCCGATTTCTAGAGAAGATAAAGTCACTGTCGGAGGAATCCATTTCAGGGGATATGTCTTACTAAAAAAAAAAAAACAAATTATTACCATGGGTCTGAAATGGGACGTTGGATTTATTAGGAGTGGACCAGCAAGCGGGTAATTGATCGACCGAAAAGTTACAAAATAAAATAAATTTACTGCAGGAACCAAGGATAAACTGTATACAGTATACTGAACAGTAGTGTAGTACAGTACAATAATATGTGGGTACAGTATCAAGTACCCGCTGGGCTCAATTTCATTGAAGGCTCTGTGTATTAGACAGGCAACCTTCTTTGTACACATGGCTTCGTCCATGTGAAACAAGATTCCCCTTCCAGCCGGTGAAGTAGTAACCGTGATGCATGTTTGGGTGCGTGGTGTTCGAGTGGATTGATTCTTCCTGAAGGAATCAGAAAATGAAGCATCGTGAAGAAAACACGTTTCGAGTGTGTACACGTCTCTACGTAGAACTCTTAGTTTCGGATAGTAAACTTGTTCTTTTCTCAGTTTCGGTCTTTCACGGATCTGCTCTCTTCCATCAACGTTGACGTTGTCCATCATATTCGACGAGTGGATGATGAGCCTGAAGAAAGGGTTACATATTTTCATGAAAAGCTAGCAGATCTCCAAGACCTGAACAGCACGGAGTCATTTTTGAACTTCGTTGAGGATGTTGGACGTGATTTCGAAACTCTGCCACAGGTGGGTTCCGTTACTCTGTTTTTTTTTTTTTTTGAAACCTCGTGTTAGAAAAAAATGTGTCGTAAGTCTATTCAGAATGTCTCAGATCATTACAGCTTTTCGGGAATAATCCCTGCGTGGAACACGGCATCCGTCATTCGGAGTGCGCGCCTAAACTAATTTTAGAAAATGTTATTCATTTTGTAAGAAATCGCCTTTGTTTCGTGTTAGCTCATCGTCACGAAAGATGCGGTTGTTGGGAAACTCAAAGAACATTTGGTCAAGGAAGACAACATCGCAGTTCCGGCGCTGCTCGAGTTGGTTTCGGCGCTTGCCCGGGACTTGCAGTTCGAATTTTATCCGTATTTCTATGACTTCTTCGATATCATCTTGAATTTGTGCAAGCTCCGAGATGCAGAAAGAGTCCAGGCGTGTTTTACTTGCTTGGCAACTTTATTCAAGTTTTTATGGAGGTAAGATTTTGCAATCTTAGACGTCGTTGATGTTGAATTTCAAAATACAGATATTTGTCAATTGCAGGTATCTGATCAAGGACATAGTCAAATTTTTTAAGGCGTTCGTTCAGTTGCTACACTCATCGGAGCCCCCCCACGTTCGCACTTTTGCTGCCCAGTGCTTCGCATTTCTGTTCCGAAAAGTTCCCGAACAAATGTCCGTCTTGCTTCTGCTGCTTGATGAGCTTACAAAGGATGGAGAAGTACAGCATTTGAAAATTATTTTTCAGTTCCAGTTTTGACCCACATTTTTTTTAATCGTTGGAATAGTTGGCTGAAGGATTTGGATTTCTGTTGTCGGACGCCGTTCGAGGCGTGAAAGGAAAATTCCATTCCTCATTTGAATCTACGATGCGATTGGTTTTCGATCTTTTCAAAAGTTGCTCGTGTGTGGATTCACTTGAAGAAGTTTTAAGAATCACGTTTGAGCGAATGGCAGGTCACGCGTCCATATCAGATTCCCGAGCGGATGTCCTCCGGGTTTGGAACCTGCTCAAGGTACGTGTAATTTCCTTATTCGTTTGTGAACGAAGCGAGGCACCCGTTTCAATTGAAATCATTCAATCTACGTACGTTTTTTTTTTTTTTTTTTTCGCTTGACCAGCAGGAAAGTGTTTCAATTCTTTGGTCTTCCTTCATTGGTACAATTCTTATTATAGCGTATAAAGAAATGTACTGTATTTGAGCACCCCAGACCTTAGCAGGAATCATAAAAAAAACAATACAGTAAAAGATGATGGAAAAATAAGTGGATGTATGGACAGCTGACATTCTTCTTTCACTCGTTCGTGTTAATGACAAAGTTTTGGCAAAAGCATCTTGTTCTTTTGAAGGACAATTCAGAAGCTTCGTTCCACATGTCGAGTTGATCATCTAAATATTCGGAAGTATAGTTATGTTTCTGAGGTTCTTGCTGGATTATGTGCACTATTTCGCGCAGGTCCTAGGCAATCTACGCTGTATTTTCCGCATATTCATCTTGTAATAATGCTGATCTGTGTTTTTCCTCCAGGCTTTTGTCAGTGAAGAAACTGGGCTGAAAGAAACGAACCCGGCAGGCTGGTGTTGTGCCTTGAAATGTGTTCGGCAGTGGTCTTGTTTTCATGGTGGCCGTTTGATCGTTGATCTGCACATTACCTTGGACATATGTGCGTCTGCTCTTAATCAAGCGAAGGTGTACGAAGAAGAGGAGATTATCGTCAGTGCTCTTGCGCAAGTCTTGATGAACGAGTCCCGTCGATCTGTAGCATTGGATCTGTTGACCAAAGGCATTTCTTCAGTCTTCACGTCCGACGTTTCGAAGCATTCTGTTTGTGATTTCGTGAATGCGTTGTGCTCGCATAATTTTGCGTATTTGGACTCGCATGTTTTACCGCGATTCTTGGCCCTGATAATCTCAAGTGCGGCCTCGAAGAATGGAGCAAGTCAATGCGATACTTTACATTTTTTAGAATCGCTTTCGAAGATTCGTGAAAGCAAAGGAAGTGAATTTCATTTCGAGCATCATGTTCTAAGGTGAGGATACTTATACTCATGAATGAGTAATATAGACGCATTGTTTAACTGATTTGTAATTGCTACCCCCAGATTCCTTCCCGCGAACATCGAAAGAAAATCTCTGAATGTTAAGGATGTCCTAACCGACTGGTTGCTTGGAAATATTACACTACATCTAAAGGAAGACGTAGATAAAAAGTGCCTGATGTATATGCTCAGCTGCGTTGCACACTGTCATCCTGTCAATGTCGAACGTGTTTGGGAATCGCTACAAAGTCTGTGGACAAGTCTCATGAAAGCCAGCTTGGAAGATATCTCTGAAACTGGTGAGCGAATTAAAATCTGGGAAGTATGCAGTGAGACAATCCGATGCACAATGTTTATCTAGTTGATAATTCAACAGGTTCTCTTGAAGCGGATGAAATCTCATCCTGCTTGTTCCTTGTTGCAAGATCGCTGCACTCATTTGATTCAGACATGTTTGCTGATCTTGTCACGAGTGAAATTGAAGAAGGCTTGATGAATTCATCGCTTGCGAGTGACCCGAGGGGTTTGCAGATTCTTTTGTACGTGATGACCACACGAAAAGCGACTAAACCGGATGCGTTCACTATTGAAGCCCTGGAAAAAGTGTACGAGAAGTTGAAACACAATCTTATGGCGAGCGAAACAGAAGCAAGGAGACTTGTGCTCAAAATCTTTGCCCTGTATCCGGTCGAGTTACCAAATCCAGAAAAGAAAAGCCTCTCAGTGTTCGAATTGTGCTTAAAGGCTGAAGAATTTCCCGATTCCATGGAGCATTATCGAGAAAAATTGATTTGGTTGGAAAAGCTGGACTTCGACTTAGTGCAGTCTAGTTTGCCTGTTGGACTGCGGTATGATTTGGTGAGTCTTCATTATCATCATGATGAAATTGTGAATGTGTTACTTGATCGAAATTAATTTCTTATAGGCGCCGGTATATTTCATAATCGGGAATATGTACACCAACTTGTCGCTGCTTTGGAAGCCTTGTGCAAAAGTTCTCTGTTCGCACGCAGTTTCTCTCCCAGGGAAAGAATTTTGGTACGAGGCGATGAAACCTGCGCTTGAAACTGCCGCAAAACTAGCGGCTGATGCCGTTTTATCCAGTGTTGCATACGAGGAAGAAGGAGACGAAAATTTTCAGTGGTTTTTGCAAAGCCTGAGAAAGGGCGGAAGAAAATTGTCCGGGTCTGGCATCAACGTTCACGTGGATCACGTGCATTGGCGAAACACTATTTGGCGTTCGATGGAGGATTTCATTGGTGTTCTTGAGCCATTCAACCGGGATCTGGTCGAATTGTTTCTCTCTTTTCTCGAGTTGGTATTTTGTTAATACGTTAAAATGGTTCTGTTCATTGAAAACTTATGTTCACAGAACGGAGTACTATCGTTCAAACTTTTCACTACTGAGACAGGAAGATTTGACGATGGCTAATGAAATGGAAGAACGTGAGAAGAAACCAAAAAGTCGCACAAGAACGCCTGCTTTTCGGTGATTTTTCGACGAGAAGTGAATTCAGTGTATACAGTATTTACTAATATATCTGTTGTTTGAAGATCGTTGCTTGCACATCTGAAGGTGTTTGCAATGTTCAAGGCTGGCACGTCAATCGCTCGGAAAAGTGATATGAAAAAAGCATATTACGAATTGCTTCTAAGTGGTCGTTCGGAAGTTCAAAAGGCTGCTTTGGATTGCATTTTTGCCTTTGGGCCAAAGACGTGTCCTGCTGCACGAGAAAATTTGAAGTAAGTTATGGTATTTACTGTAATCACAGGAATTTTGGCCGCACTTTTCTTCCCAGGAATTTTTTGAAAACTCGGTTGCGGCCTGTACTTGAAACGTGTGGGCTGTTGCTGGTATCTAACAAAAAATTAGTCTTTAAAATAAGAATGTATCGTACCTCGCCTTGTTTTCTTCCTTTTTCCTACATAAAAAAAAACTCGGAAGGCTATTTTACGTTATGTTTTGTTTTTTTCCAAACTTTTCCATTCTTGAACTTCTCGAATTTTTTTTTTTCGAAGGATGAGATCTTGTGTGTGATTCTGGGGATGTGATCAAAATTGTGAACGCTGAAAACATCAAAATTGATAGCACAGTCTAAATTTTCTGATCTTCATGTTTTCAACACAGGGAAAGGCTTTATCGTCTGCAAGATGGGAAGACTTTCAAGAAAGAGATGATGGCTCTTAATTCAGATTTAAACTCCGGTGCGATTGATGAAGACGTGAGAGAAAGTCTGATGGGAATCGTTTTGCCGTAAGTACTTCTCAGTGTGTTATTGTTCACTATTTAAATGTAGTACCTTTTTCCCTTAGAATATGTTTAGAAAAAATGTCTCATCGAGTTGATACCAGATCAGCTGGGAAGGACAATTACGGAGAACGTTCGGCTCTCATCCTGCGCTTTTTATCTCAAGGATGTCGAGAAAACGAGTACACGAAGTTTTTTGAATTGGCCTTCGGATCCGAGATGTGGAGTCTCGGAATGAGTGAGTTGACATTTTCCTGTGAAATCTCTGCTTAACTTATTACTGTATCTCAATAATATTTCATCCTGAAAATTTTGAAATTTTGCCTGAGGCATGCACGGAATTTCGTCAAGATCTGTACTGTATTCGACGACTTCTTCGAACATTTTCAGACCTTCAAATACAAATCCTCAACAATTAAAAATGAGCATCTCGAACAGTCTTCAATCTCGTGTTTTTAGCAGTGTGTTGAAGCCTATATTTGAGACATCGAAAAAATTTAAGTTTCTTACACGTTACACGAAGATGAAAACCTATTTTATGCATAAAAATTTTCTGAGTAATATTCTGTCTGGTCTGCAAACACTTTTTCTGTATTATAATTTTTCTTGGTGTGAATTCGACGAGGAAGTAACCGACGAAGCGCCGCTGATCCCTCGTTATTGAAAAAAAGCTGAATTTCTGCTCTAACTGTGCTATGATTATTTATTTTACCCCGTCGGTGTTTAGTTATGATTTTTTATTTATTCAAGTGAGCCAATTTTTGGAATCTTTTTCGAGCCGTAGCGTGTTACTTGCAAGTCGAAGAACTTGAAAAAATACCGCATACTCATTCACTTGTCCGAAAACTTTGTGTAATTGTTCAAAGAGTGAGAACAGGCACCATATAAAACCGGTCCGTAAAGTTGAATGAACCATCAAACATAAGCCTTCATTTTCCGATTCTGCTCTCGAATTGCTCATGTGCACACACGACATGAGTAACTCGGAGGTAGATGGAATGACTCCAGTGCAAAATGAAGATGTAGGTGGCATGGCTTCACAATGAAGGAAGTCTTCTTTGTAATGGGCAAGACAAAAAAATACTCCGTCTGTAATAGGCATTTCTCAGTGCAGAATTACTATTTAAGCTGCTTCCACGCCAGATCACACCTCATCTTCATGAAATTCATTTTTTTTCGTCATCGTTGCTTAGGTTTGCCAGAAAATGAAGCTGAAATGAGTGGTTGTGTCCTGGCGCCTCCATTGCGCAAACGCAAAGCGGGTTTACTTTTGATCGGAACAATTTTTCAGCAGATCGGGAACAGAATTACTGGTGAACTGCGTTCCCATATTCTCAGGTGAGCTCATGGCACACATCATTCAAGGAATGTTCTGATTTCGGAAGATTTTATTCATTGTGCGTATTTACTTCTTTTTCCAAAGAGTGATGTTGGTGATAGGAGCTCAATCGGTCGTCCTCATGAAACGCAACGATTTGCACTCAAAAGTTCTCGAGCGCTTGAAAGACGTCAGAAACACTGTGCAGAAGAGATTAACGCACTTTTTTGAAGTGTTCGACAATTACGATTGGACGGAACGTGAGCTTGATTTCATTTTCGAGTATCTGATTGCGCCACAGCTCCCGAGACTAGCCGAAGATACATCGAATGCCGCCTCTGTCTTGCTGAAGTTTCTGCTGAGTTTGGGAAAGAACCCCAGGTGTGAATGATCTACTACTTTTTAAAACAAATGCCTGACCCTAATCTGGTGAAAAATTGTTGCCTTATGATTTGAGTACAGGAGGTCTGTGCGCGTCGAAATTGATGGTGCGAATTTATTTGCAACAGGTATTATCCGTTGCTGTGCAAGAAAGGTGCTACAATGACCCCTATTGACGCAATTCTCGACCTCGTGAGCATCGACAAGTTAGACGAGTCCATCGCGAAACTGCTTTTCCAGTTTTTCGTGGATTTGACTACGTTGGAGAGAGGTGAAGCAGATGCCATGTCTCTACCGATTGCGGAAGCTGCGAACATTCCCGTTTGGGAAAAACGTATGTACTTCAATATGCTCGTGCTATATCACAGGTTGATTTTTGCTTTGACGTTCGACCTCCCGATTCTAAGTTTTTTTCTAAAAATCATAATCACATAGGCGTTGCATGGATTGCGTTAAGGTTCATTGTGTCCAGCTACACGTTGAGTTCCGTTACCTCACTTTAGTCGGTGCTGAGTTTGTTTCAGGTTGGGTCAGGAGTACAGGACAGATTCGATGAACTGAATTATTCTTGGGCATCTGCGTGTCAGTTTAGAAACCAATGTCGCTCGTTTAAATGATACCGTATTTAATCGAGTCTAGCTTGCCCGCGAGTAAGACACGCACCCCAATTTTTCACCCTAAAATTTAGTTGAAATCTTTTCCCCGAGGAAAACCCGTGCCCCATTTTTATTTACTGGAAACAGCAGTACAGTATTTCAAAAATAAGAGACACCAGAATTAAAATTTGGGCATGCATTCAACTTCAATTCAGTAGATTATCGATTATTTGGATTTAAAGAAGTTCCTGCCAAAAATCTCCCATTATATTTTCAAGTGTGACGCTCACCTAAACTTCATAAATTTATTGAAAATTGTGTCCCCGCTTATGACGCGCACCCCCTTTTTCCTCGCTATTACGATAAAAAGGGGTTCGTGGTATTGTACTGGAGTTAATACGGTAGTTATGCGAATGAAATGCTTCTTTAGTTATCAATTTGGATGCTGCATTTTGAATGAATTACCCGAATTCTCTTCAATCTGAGCAAAAATTCTTTCCTCTGCTTGTCCGAAGTTCGTACGATTTATCGGGGCTTTTTTACGCTAAGTTTTCGCATCATTTTTTGATGAAATTGCATCTTTTTTCAGGTGAATTGAATTTTGGCACTCGTCTGCTGATTCCGCATGTCTCAAAGATTCTGAAAGCTATTGAAAAGGTCGTGATAAAAGAATCGTTGGGAAGAATGAGGAATGAAAGTGATAAGAACGTCTTGGCCGTGCTTACGACGTTGTCCGAAATTTCGGACGATGCTGAACAGAATGAAATGATTGTTGGATTATTGATCAATCATCTAGTGAAGAGTGAAAAGTTGGATGATGAAGCTCGACTTCAACTGACGATTTCCTGTGCAAATTTCTCACGAAACGTTGAAAACTGGGATGCAAGACTCAAATTCATCAGGTAATTTTCATTTTTTCTTTTTTTAAAAGCTCAAAGTGGAAGGATTCTAAATTTTGTTGAAGGGCTATCAATGAAAAAAGCTGTAGCTTCATCAGAGACATATTATTTGGTTCCTGTACTGTAAAATTATTCCGTTCCATTCTCTTGATCATTTCCGTCTTGTTTACGTTTCAGAGAATTGTCTCCTTTGCTTGGCAAGAGAACGGGACCAACTATAAGCAAGCAATTGATCGAAATTTTCAATGCGCTGCTCGGAGACAAAGATGGAGAATGGGCAATTATGAAAAAGTTCGTGTCGCACGGGCATGCTTGGAATCCGAAACGTGCCGAAGAGCCTAATTTCAAAATGAGGTTGGATGCTTTGTCGGAAATCAATGCAATCCTGCGGAGCAGTGTTTCGCTTTCGATGGAGTGCTTGCTTATGATTGTTCACACCGCTTTCCAGTTCATTTCTTGGGTGCGTATCTGATGTTTTCTTCGATTGAAAAACTTTGGCCTGTCTGTATTCGACAGTTTTTGCCAGATTTTTTTCCGTTAAAAAATTAAGCATTTTCTATTCTTTATTCCAGACAGACGAGATGGCTATCAGAGATGCTGGATCAAATACGATGCAGATGTTGGTGATATTTTTATTCAACAATTCCGCAACCCCTGGGATCATGTCGGACTTCTTACCAAATGTTGTCTTGAAAGCCGTCAGAAGAGGAATCCTCGATACAAATGAAAATATTCGAGCCGAGTATCATACGATTTTATCTGTAATGGTGAGTTTTCCGAGGCAAGATATTTTGCTCGAAGTTAGGTTTTTTAATTTTGAAGATGCGATGTTGTTTTTGCTTGGTTAGGTACGAGAAAGTGTCAAAAGGAACACGGGACCAAGGATCTTGAAGGAGCTTGGTCAATTGACCAACGAAGACGTCGAAAAAGATTTCTTTGAAAACATGAAGCATCTTAAGGTGTTTAAAAGAACGAAAGCGCTTGCAGATTTAGCTAAAGGAATCCGGGATGACAGTTATAAGTTTTCTGATGACACCTTGGGTCAAGTTCTGCTCCTGTTACCTTCCACGTACTTGTTCAATCGTGCATATGTGAAGGACAATCATTTAGTTGATGCGGCTATTGAGGTGAGTATGGGAATGGGAAACTTCGAATGTTTCGGAAAGAGAACGTTTTTGGTTCTCCTTATTGAAGTGTCTCGAGTCCAAGACTGTTTTTTTATGTCTTATATTCGTTTTTTAAGTTGTGTTAGTCTATGCAACGGTTTTTTTTTTTGAATGTGTGGAGTTCGAAATTAGGTTTTTTGAATGATCATCAATACAGGATGATCAGAGAGCTTATGTGACCAGTATGCGAGGCATGTTTTCAGAGAGAATGAGTTCCTTGACGAATCATTTCCAGTACAAGATATTCGACGAATTTTCTTAGTATAATCGTCCCTTGTGTCCCTGTTTATTTTCTATAATTATTCCCTCGGGCTTGAAGTTTGAGTTCACGTCTTTTCTTCTTTTTTTTTCAATTGGGACTAAAGCCGAGAAGGACAGAAACTTCCATTTTCAAATGTCCGGTTTTCAAGAATTGTAATCATTTTTTTTTTTTTGGAAGACGCATTTCTTGAGCATACTTCTGCTCTTTGCTGCTTCGATGAACTTCATTGTGAACAATGCGGAATTATTTTTTACAGGCTCAAGCTGCGATTGCGTCTCGATTATCATGGTATAGATACAAGTTGTTACTCAACTTTTGCGTGAAAAAGATCCTCACAGACTCTGAGTTTCACAAAGTAGCAGTCAAAACGCTCACCTCCGTACTCAATGCCTTCAACTTCGAAGTAGCCGCATCACTACCCCCGGGAACCGAAACTGCTGCCGAAGTCTCCCCGGATGACGAAACTAAGAATGAAATTGAACTTGTTGATATGGATGAATCGACTGAAAGAACCAACGCAAAGGTTCCTATAGCAGCCAAGATCCACAACGAAATCGCACATCAGTTCCTTCCAAAATTGGAGCGTTTGTTATCCAAGAGAACGGCGGGTAGGAAGCAATCGGAAAATTCAAAACCTGTTTTTCAAGAGGACGAAGACGTGTTGAGAGTTCCGATTGCCCTGGCGTTAGTCAAATTATTGATGAAACTGCCCGATTCTATTCGGGTTTTACGATTGCCTGGGTGAGTACGAAATTTGTTCATCGTTTCAACAACCGAGGCCATCGCCATTCCTGATTTGTATTCAAGTTCATGCGTTTCATTATTTTAACTCTTTCATTTGTTGAAATTGCTGTAACATTCGCTATTTTTCATCAGGATACTTCTGACGGTGTCAACATATCTCAAGTCTAGGGCAGAAAGCGTGAGAGCGTCAGCGAGGAGCGTGCTGATAAAAATAATGATGATTCTTGGATGCAAATATTTGCCGAACTTGATGCGAGCTATGCGCTCGGTGTTGTTCAGAGGATATCAAGTCCACGTTCTTGTGTTCACGTTGCATTGTGTTCTGAAAGCTATGGATTCGGCCAAGCAAATTTCTTGGGGTGACTTGGATGAATCGATCGCAGATTTGACCCAGGTACATTTATTTTTCGTAATTTCTCACAAATTTCTGTTGATTTATCTGTTCAGAATCCGCGAGCAAAGCACTTATACAAATTTTTTATTTTTAACTGTGATGATGATCATGAACTGATCCAATGAAATATACGGTAATTTTAAATCTCATTTGAAAATTAAAATGTTCACCTTTTGGTAAAGGCGGACTCTCTCCTCGACGGAATTCGCGGGACCAGAAAAGAATTCGTTGTGGAGAACCCCTGTAACATATGGAGAGAACCTTGTGGAACCAAAATAGAATGTTGGAGAAAATCGTAGTATAGTGAGTCCACCTGTATAATTTATTGACGCATTGATTTTTCAGGTGTGTCGGTCGGAGCTTTTCGAAGAAATTTCGGAGGAAAAAGAAGTAGCAGCGATTACTTCAAAATGGATCGAAGCTCGTGGTGGTAAAGCCTTCGATGTGTTTGAAATCTTGGCTCGTTATGTTTCCCGAGGTCGAGTCCTTGATCTGTTCCGTCCATTGCAAGAGGTGAGCCGAAGTTTGTAACCGATTGAAACTATAATCACGCCTCAGTGATCTATGAATCTATGCATTTCTAAAAGATTGTTTCTTGTATCTCAGGTTCTAAGTACTGCGAAGTCCAACAAGATTGTATCGAAAGTTTCTCGCTGCCTCGATCACCTGGTCTTGGGTCTGGTACAAAATGAGGGCCTTGGGCATAATGACCTCATTTTGCTCTCCCGAGGCCTCGTGAAAGAATCAATCCCCCAGTTGCAGTTGAACGCTGTTGCCGAAAACACTAAGAAACCCAAGCGTGATAAACGATTACGACCGGACGGAGAAATATTCTTGATTCCCGCTGAACCAAAACGAGCCGCGGCGGCAGTCAAGACGGCGTTGAAAGTGCACTCGCATTTGCTGGTACAAGCAGGACTCGAGGTGTTATTAAGCTCGCTGAAAAACAAGAAAATTTGTTTGAATATTGAGAAAGACGTGGATGGGTTCCTCATGGATTTGATAGCTTTGATAGATCACCAGAGTGTAAAGGTAAGCGTGCAATGCTCGATTTCGTCTCTTTTCTATCATCATCGTTGCTGTTTTTATCCATTTGTATTGACTAGCTCGTCACAGTTGCCTTGCGTTGTTTGGCCTTAATACTTCGAGCTGCTCCCGAGGAGATCCCGTCATTCAAAGCGGACGCCTCCAAGACATTAAAGGACAAACTTTTTGCCATCATACATAAATATTCATCCCCTGGAATGTGTATCAGTGAGAATGACGAGCTCGTAACAATTTCATTCAAGGTGAGTGTTCTCAAAATTAATGATGACTTTTACTAATTAATTATTTATTATTTTTAGCTGATGACTCAAATGATCTGGGATATTGACTCCTTGGAGCTTACAGAGAGTCAGTTGAAGCTACTCTTACTGCACGCTGAAGCAGATTTGAAAGACACGACGAAGCAAGCAATGGGATTTGCTTTACTCAAGTGCGTTACTTTTCGTAAAAGTTGCGCGCTTCAATTTCAGGGATTTAATTTTTGGAATGTTCTTGAAATCACGTCTCGTGACACCTTTTTCGTAGAAAGCATTGTGTTTCGTGAACAGAATTTTGCGCTTGTCCTTGTGTTCTGTAACATCGAAAACCATTTGCTCGAATCGCTAGCCTTGTCAAGAATAAGGCAACCCAGCCCACACTCACCTAACCTGACTAGAAGTAACTAAATCTAACCCTACCTAACTTCGCAGACTTCAATTTGTGTTTCAACTGCAGAAAAATGCGAGGGACACGTTAAATTAGAGAAAACCATGTTTTGGGGCGTCGGGCATCGAAATGGGAAGATCGGGCCCGAGTGGGTGAAATTCCGATGATAACGAGGGAAAGTTGTTGAAATTTTCCTATGTAAAGGCGAAAGAATTCGAGGTCTGAATCAGTTCCTGTTACAAATAATTTTTCAGATGAAAATGTATCATTTGTCCGCTTCCCTAAATTTCGTTCCAGAGCTATACTGAAGAAGAAATTCGCTGCTGAGGAAATCGGCGAGGTTATGAAGGGGGTTGCCAGGATTGCTATTGTCGCCGAATCAGTGCAAGAACGTTTTCGAGCGAGACAAGCGTATTTGACGTATCTCATGGATTATCCTTTGTCGGATGCAGAAATTTCGAAAGCCGTTGATTTTTTCATTGATCAAATGGAGTATGAGTTCGCCAGTGGACGTGATTCCGCCGTCGAAATGCTTTTCGTCGTCGTGAAGAATTTTCCTGAGGTTTGTTAATCTTAGCCTGCGCGAGGAATTTTTGTGCTAAAGAATGTTTGAAACCCTCACAGGCTCGTGTGGACAAATTCTCTCCAAAGCTTTTCGTCAACTTGGCGACGAGGCTCGTGAATGAAACCGAAATTCACGTGCGTCAAATGGTGGTTATGCTTTTGACGAAGTTACTTGGTCGCATTGGCAAAGGACGTCGTGATGCTTTGTGGGATCTCACTACATTATGGTTGAAAAACAAAGCTGTTAGCTTCAAGAGGCTAGCAGCAGAAGTCTTCTCTATCTTCTTGAATGGTTTGTTTAATTTATATTTATGTAATTTTATTCGATTTTTTATGAACAACGTACGGTATGTTCTTAAATTTCCAGTTCATCTGTGAAAACTTTTTATTATTTCATGCCGTCGTTTCTGTCGAAGATCACCGTAGAATCTAAATTTTTTCCGGGATAATTGCTGATCTCACGTGTTGGTTAGCCTCTCGTTTTCATTATTACTGACGAAGATATTTCATGCGTTTTATTTTCTAGTTGAGAAAGTTAGTTTCAAGCCAAGACTGCGGGAAGCCTTGAAAATGCTTTTGGAAGCTGTGAAGCCATCTTTGTATTCTGACGTACCGGTGTCGGAGTCTGCGGAAGACATCGCTATCGCTGAAAATCACGGTTTGACTGTGAAACTCAACGACCTATTCATCGTCCATGTTTTTCGTTTCATCCTTGATCTGCTGTCCGTGAACATCAATGCTTTATATGTCAATCGAAAGATGTCTTCCATCTTGAGAGCATTCTTGGACATCGCGCAGCGCTTGTTGTGGCACCCGCAAGTACAAGTGAAGCTGGTTTGCGCTCAAATTTTCGGGATCGTGTTCCAAAACCTCGGGGACCCGAAATTTGTCCTGGCAGCGAATGGCTGGCACCGACCCGGCTTCGAAAACCTCGAAATTCCTTCGGCATTCCGTTTCAAGTTTTACTTGGAATTTTTTAGTGCGCCTGGATGGAAGAAACGGGTCGTGAATCTTTTGTTCATGTGCTTCACCCAGCTGCAAGCAAAATTGTTGAACGAAGAACTTGCCACTCAGGTGAAGTCAATTTTTGAACCATTACTTTTCCGACATTATTTGATCTCAGAATGTTGGGTTCCTTTCAAACTAATGCCAGAAATCCCGAACTCCGTAATTGTTTTTTCCCCCAATTTCTTCATTTTTGCCTATAAAGTATTCGTTGAATTCTGTGGTTTTCAACACGGTTTTTCTGCGATTTTGTTTTTCAGGTGGTTAAAAATCTGATTTACCTATCGAAGTTTGCTGTGATTTTGAATGCTCCAGACCACATTCAGTTTGGCACAGAACCCAAAAAATCCACTGAAGACGACTCCGCGGAGAAGGATGAAATCAAACCGATTCCGAGCAGTAGTGCGACGGTTTCCGATGTGTGTGAAGAAAACATAGAACTCATATCCATTGACGATTCAGATGAGGACGAGTTGACTTCTAATCCAATGGACCTGGACCTTCCTGAACCGTTTCCCGTCGATGAAGAAGACATTTGCGATAGTGACGTACGAGATCCTAAAGACGAACCGAATGAAGACGATGATGTTGGGAATGTGCCATTGAAGAATGATCCAGAGGATTTAGATCGGTATTTAACGTTCGATTGGTTGTCGAGCAAGTTAAAACGTGAAGCATATATAGAGATGAAGAAGACTCCACAAGTCCTCACAAGAGTGAGTTCAACGGATTATTCGTCACCCAGTTCTCATAGAAAAGTGGAACTAAATCCGCGTTTAATCGTATTATGAAGCTACTTCTTTTTTACATGAGATCAATCTATTATAAGACTCTGTTTTTTATAAGCCTCTCCTTCTTTTATTTTTTTTTTAAATTAGAAATAATTTCGTCTTCGAATATTGCGTAAGACGCACTTTAATTCCATTCAATTTCTCGATGATCAGATCTCAGATGAGTCCTTCTGCTCATACTTCAATTATCCGCTTAAAACCCTCAAAAACTAGTATTTTAACTCCTGTGTCCTTGAACAAAAAATATTCAAGAAAATTTCTCTGACATCATTTTTAAAATAATTGCACACGATTTAAGAAATTGTGTTGACGAGAAGTGGTCATACTTTTTACTTGTCGATCCAAGACGACATTGAGCACAAAACAACACCGAATAAAAAATCTCACCCCAGTCTTGAGCCAATTGAAAAGGTGCATCTCACGTTCGAGTAAATTTGAATATTCACTCTGTGTATTGTCTGGCGAATCTACTTCGTTCTAAAAAAAATATCTCGCATTGTTCCACGCATAAAGGATTATTCTCGTTGTTAACGATGCTACAATAATCTATTCTTTTAGAGACAAACGTTATTCCGATGGATTGCGGGGCTGAGTTTCGCGGTGAAGAGCGACTTAGGAACGCAGGCTCTGAAAGAAATTCTGCCAGTTCTTCTGCCGCCTTTGGTTAGGGAACTGTCCGATCCATCCTGCCCACCGCAACTGAAGGCACTTTGTGAAGAAACGGGGCGTTATATGAAGAAGTTCGTCGGAGGAGAATTTTACTCCAATGAATACCAAAAGGCGCAGAGCACTTTGAACACTGCGAAACAGGATCGGAAACGAGACAGAGCGACTCTGGTATTAATCAGCTTATTTATTTTGTACTCTATTTTTCGGTTCAACGCGGATGTCAGGGATTTTGCTCAATTGCGAGATTGATTTTTGTTTTTTATTTTTTTAAGGCTGTGACGAATTATGAAGTTTCTGTCAAGAAGAAAATGAGGATGAACGCGGCCAAAGGAGTTTCAAGAAAGCGGAAAAACGAGAACGCGAGGATACAGCGGCAGTTCGGAGGGAAAAAGCTGAAAGATCTTGTCAAGAATGGTTGAATAAACCTTGCGTTTCGCCTTGGAAATTATTTAATTTCATTTGTGATGTTTAATACTGGCGAATGCCTGTGTGAAACGTAGCCGTAAATATCGCAGCGATTCGCAAGTCCGATGAACACATGTCGTCTGCATCTTGCACAAATTTGCATGAGGTGTCCGATTCCCGCGCTTATTTCAATTTAAAAGTATCCACACTACTCAGTGTCAATTTAACATTAGAGCAATTTAGATTAACGGATCTTCGAAAATATTTTTTGTGGATAATTTGAGGGTTTCCTCTGTAATTTTTATTCGTTCCCATCCTTGAATAGATTTTGTCACCGAGTGACAGAAGAAGATAGGAGTGCGATATTTTTGAATATGCCGATACAGTACTAACATCAGGTGTAATAGTTGTATCTTGAAAACGAAAAAACCCATCCGAAAAACATTTCAAAGGAGTTAATGATCTAATTCTACACTACCTCCCTTTAATTACACTGCTTATTAAATGGCGAGAAGTGTAGAATTGGATTGAGCGCGTAAATCGGACACCCCGCTGTATTCGAACGCAGTCCCAGCCTTTTTCAAAAACATTATGAAACTGGAACGGCAGAAAGATTTAGCATTTTATTTATGTAATTTTCATTCTCCTCTTGCAGGAGAAGCGCTGAATTTGATATGGCGCTTCTGCCTTTGGAGACCCACTCATATTGCCGAAGGTGGTACTTGGTTAACCTCTATGGTGCGGCGTCATTTTGGCAAGCAGCCATATTCAATTCTTATGGTCCAATTTACTCGAGTTTGAAAGCCGCGTATCCGGGTGTGTGGAATGATGCTCAGATCGCGATGCAAGGCAATTGGGGAGCGATCACGTATGTGCTCTTCTTCATCCCAACTTCGTTCATCATGAGGAAATTTGGTGAGAGGAATAGGTCTTTTCTTCTTGATCTGTTTTTCATTTTTTACTTGAAAATTATGTAATTTTTTGTGTTAGGTGTGCGAACGGTGATCCTGGGAGGCGTTGGTTTGACTTGGCTTGGAACCGGGTTCAGATGTCTTGGTGTGAACCCCGAACCTTTTCTCGGGTAATTCAATTCATGAGTATAGTATGCTGATATTCGTTAAAGCAACTTTTTCATGCAACGACTGTCTTTGGTAGTATCGTACAGTACTTCCACCGATTGGCGCAAAAACATAGTGTGATTATTTTTATTTATTACAATTTATTTCAGTCTCAGCAAAGCTAATTAGATTTGAATCGAGAATTTGCAACGCCTGTTGAAAATCAAGTTTGGCCTGGTGGGAAGAATTTGAGGACCAAATAGATTTTGACTGATTCGCCGTGAAGAATATTACGATCGCGAAGTATGTATTGAATTCTTCGAGTCGGGAGTTCTTGTTTTGCGGAATCTTCCGCTCTTTTAGCATTGTTCTAATTTACTCTCCTTGCCACTCATCAATTTTCAGAGCAGCATGACTCATTCCTTCTAGTTTTTTTTTCCTTCTGGTTGTTATTAATTTCAATTTATTTCATTATCCGTGTCCTTCCGTCAGTAGCTTACACGAACGCACTTCACGCATCCAAACACGACGTTGTCAATCACAGGAAAAAAAACATAATTTTAAGAATAGCATTGCGGAAGAAGTGGGACGCCAATGCCCTGAAACATTTTCTCATGATACAGAGCGATGAATGATTAGAATGAATCTGTGAAATCGATGAATTTTCCAGGTTATGTCACCTTTGTTCCGTGTTGAACGGAATAGCAGGCCCATTGCAACTTGTCGTCATTCCTGCCTATTCAGCCCGATGGTTCCCGAACCATCAGAGAACCACGGCGACGAGTATTGTCGTGGCGTGGAACACTCTTGGGATCGCGGGTTCTTTTTTGTTGCCAAACTTGTTGGTGCCTGGAAGCGACGTGGATCAAGATGGACAGAAACTTTTTATTCAGCAGTTTATGCTTATCGGTAAATTATTTGAAAGTTGGACAAGCTTTTTGGAAGGACGAGATAGATGTCTGTTCTTGTGTATCGAATTTCAGAGTTCATTGTGTCGTCCGTTTTGCTGTTGGCGATCTTGTTGTATTTTCCGGAGAAACCGCTTTTGCCTCCGTCTGTTACGTCAAGTACGGTAAGGCCAAGTTCTGCCGACTCCTTGCGGAAATTCACGACGTGAGTGTGTAATTTGTGTGATTGCGCTGATTTGTCGTCTCGCACAAGAGGTTTTTAAAATTGTCTTCGTTTATTTCTTGATTCAGGAGTCCATTGGCTTGGGCCTTGTCATTGTCGTTCGGACTTTCTCTGGGTGCGACGGGAATATTTTCTGCCGTCGTGAATGTTGATCTTCAATCTCTTGGCATTGATGAGGTACGCATTACGATTGTGGAATCCGATCAAATCGTAGAATACGGTATTTTAATATGCGGTAAATGGGAAACAATCTTCAATAGAAAAAAAAATTACAGGAAATAATCCATTACACTATTTACGCTGCAATAGTAACGCAATGTACATTACTCTTGAAAGATGCCTAAGCGCGTCTTGAAGCGGTATGTCCGCAAAATGTTTTTATTAATGGAAGTGAAATGCAGTGAGCTGAGATTAGCGCAAGGGAAGTAACTATTGTATGTCAATAATTTCATTGATTCAAGCGACTTGGTCGAAAGAAACTTGGAGTAGCTTAGAGGAGCGTACGTTTTTGAAAAGTATTCGATTTTTTGGGCATTTAACTTTTCGAAGGAAAAGCTAAGCATATTTTTCAGGTAGCTTCATTTTTCAGTGTAACTGATACTTCGACAGACTGAAGAATAATAAAAGTAACATTTTTTTAATCGAGAAAAAGTATCTTAACGTACATGTTTTCGATCGCTCTCTTCCCCATCGCTACGAAAGACGGCAGAAAATAGTTCATTTCTCAGAACGAATCACCGCTCCCAATAAATCAAAATTTTCCATCTCCCCGGATCAGAAGTCAGTTCCAAGTAGGACAGTGATTCTGAAAAAAAAAGTGCTTGAAACAAATGTTATCCGAACACTGTATGTCTGTAGAAATGTTAGAAGAGGATGTAAAATCAGCAGGAACTTGAATAATATTCCCTTCGAACTGTAGTTAATTGCCGGGTCTTTTTCCCCAGTGGTCTGTCAACTGGTTTGGTGGAGTCACTGTCATCAGTATGTGTAGCCTGATGTTGCTGGTTGCGTCGGTGTGCGATCAGTTCGTGACCTGGCTGAAAACCGTCACTTTGACTCTTCTGGCAGTTTCAAGCTTATTCTACTCGTGGTTCCTGGGCATTTACACCGGTCTAATTCCTGCCAGCACAGGTAAATCCTGCTTAATTCTCTATTTCTGCTCATTACGAATAATTCAGCTGGAAACTCAAAACTTGCCGAAACGTGAGATTTCGGAAGAAATTCTTGCTTTAAGCCTGTTCGTGTTTCAATATCTAACATATTGAAAAATGACAAGGACAGTGTTGGATACAAATTCTGAAAAATGATAATTTTGAACTAATTTTTCATTGGGATGCAATTTAAAAAAAAAGAGGTACCGAATCTTCTGCGTGAAAAATTCCCATCGGGTGCAGATTCAAAATTCCTGAACTTTCTTTTCGAAGCACGGCTCCCTGCTGATGCTGTGCTTGAGTTTTCGTCAGTTACTGATGTAAATTAATTCAAAATTTCTGTTTTCCCTTCAGAAACGTTCGTTTTCATGTCGAATTTTTTTTTTCATTTCATTACAGCCACAATGTTTTTGAGTCTTGGAGTCGCGTGGGCTACAAATTCGTGCATTCTACCACTGTTCTTGGAACTAACAGCGGAAGCTCTTTACCCGGTGGAGGAAAGCGTTTCCGCAGGATTTTTGACTGGAATACAAAATATTGTGGGAGTCTTCTTCCTAAGCTTAGCCTTCATACCTGGAATTAATTTTGCTCTGATGATCAATGTAGCGATGGTTGTCTGCACCATTTTATCGTTCCCGGTTTTAGCTGCGTGTAAAATTGAATACAAGCGCAGTCGCAGGGATGAGAGGGAAAATGAGGATTGATAGCGAATGGATATCCAGCGGCGATTCCTTACCAAAAACTATCCTGAAAACAGTACGGGATTATTTGCCAAAAGATGTGTTTAGGTTTGATTTCATGCGAGACTTCTATGCTTTTGAATCTGTAATTTAGCATTTTTTATCCGAACTCCTTTAATGATCTGAGGGGATTACTTTTTGAGTAGATGCCCGACAGCAGAAGGGAACGACATGAAGATCTCTTTAATTTCTGACAATTTAACTGATTTCTTCGTTAGAGCTGTGATGTTTGGTTACGAATTCGCACTTGTGATTGTGTCAAAGGAAATTCAGCGAGCGAAAAAATATTTGTCCCCGGAATTATAGCTGGAAAACCTTTTGTTGGAAATAAAGTTCCGGATTCGGACAATTACTATGCACGACGAACTGTTCACCATTCACTCAGAAAGTGGCAGTTTTTTTTGAACGGGTTCAAAAACATTTTGAGCATGAAGAAAAATCAATCATGTGAGTGAGTATCCAGTCAACGCTTGCCAGATTTGAACATCTGCATCGGATTGTTGATGTCCTCTGGAACTTCCTGCCTACCGGAATTTCATTACAGACACGACCACCGCAGCTCACGGAGAATGTTTAGTCGCGGAGAGATCGATCTCCTAGTCATCGAAGATCTTCCCTGCTCTCATCCTGTGAAGGATCCGAAGTTGAAAAAAAAAGGAAAAACAAAGATTACGAGATCAAGCGTTCGATTTGCCAGAATCGGTGAGAAATCTAACCTTGCTGCAGGAAGGTACTGAGAATTCTCATCAACTGAAAGAGTTTCGGAAGTGTTGGAGGCCCTGAGACTGGCTGCTGAACTATCTTCCCACATGGGCTTGGTGGACGTCAACTTGCTCCTGGAGACGGATTCCAACTTCTTGATTTTAGCCGTCGCAGAAGGACTGTCATTTGGGGACGGGAGTGTGTTATTTTTCTTCAGCGGGGTACTGTGAGAATGTTCTTGCAGCTCGGAAAAAATTGCTTGATATCGAGGGTCCATCCCTTCAATTGCTTCAAATCCTCTGAAACAAATAAATGCGACTCAATTTTATTAACCTTGCAAGGGATGACAGCTAAGATTTTAGCAGAACTGTTGTCCTTCCAGTTGATGAATGTTTTGCCGTCTGCTTGGCCTGATTTACACGATTTCGGCACTTTTTGGTGAGCTTCCCTTCCGCATAAAATTGCCCCATAAACTAAATTCTTAAAACTTTTGAGTGTCATTCGGTACTGTTGAAATCAGTCAAAATCACGAGGGGATCATCCCTTCTAAAATTCTGGTCGATTTTTGAAACAAGTCGTGACAGAACTATTCGGTAATTTCAATGAACGACAGAAATCCCTCTCCCTGAAGGTTGAATTTTTTCCAACAATAATTGGTTAAAACTTAGCATAACTTTTCCTGTTTCCACAAGCGATTTGAGATTTAATCTTGAAAGATGAACATTTTCTCACAATCCACCACAGACGGATGTCTGTTGAGAGACGCATGAACTTCCTGAATTCGAAGCCAGAGTAGTTCTTGTACTTCCAGGTTCGGGTATCATGGAATCTTCCGATGGAGTCACAACGTTTTGGCCGAAGAGCGGATAATTGGACCAAGGAAACCCAGGCCATGGGCTACTTCCCATGGGGGGTTCTCCTCCAGCTGCTTTATCAGTTTTTGGCGAGATGTCAGTTAGCTTCGATAACGCGGAATTGATTTGCGCCACATCATGCTTTTGAGGGACGAGGCACTGGGATTCTACGTGGTCGAGGAATCCGAGAGTGACATAAGGTATGGAAGTCATTTACAACGTTTTGAAAATTACCTACTGTACATGATCAAGAGTGCGATGAAAATTTGGATTTGTAGGAAAATAAGATTGGCCTCACTTCACTGCTCATTTGCCTCGAAAATCTTTTTAGTGTTACTCATAATACTCACAGAAACTATCATTCGCAAATCAACGCACAAAATTCCCTTCTTATACATGCATTTTTGCGTGATTTTCGTTAAAATTTCGAACATACGGAGAATACTGTACATAGATAATACAGTAAATAGTATTAACTCTCTGGGAACTCGATACCAATCGGAAAGATCAACCGGAAAGAGATGAACTTTCTGATATTTTATGACGTCAGAAAAGGTCGTAAAGGGTCTTTGGGTATAAAATTCAAAGCTCATAGAACCATACTTGATGCAATGGCAGGACGAGTGCGAAGGTCGTCCCCTTCTGTCTCCACAATTCCACCTGATTCGTATCTTTGCACGGCCTTCTTCACATCTGGGCTGAGGGTTATTTTTTGTTCCTTTCGGTGATTCCTCAACCAAGTTTCGCTCATGGCTCCATCGCCCATGTGCAATCTGAGCCCTGAAGGCAATTCAATAAAATTCTGGTGCACCTCAATCGACACGAATTTGCAGTCTGGTAGTTTGATATCATGTTTCACCAGTGATCCAGTTCCTTTCAAGGGCATCAAGTGTGTCGTCTTCTTGTTTTTCTTCCCAAAAATCCTTTTGAATAAGCTGGATGGTTTCTTCTGAGCGGGTTGTTCCACCACAGCGGATTCCTGAGGGATTCTCACACTCTTCAGTTGTTTCTTGTTTGTCCGATTTGTGTGGAAAAGCCTTGAAAACAGCCCTTTCTTGCGTCGCTTGAGGAGTTCTGAACTGTCGGAACGCAAAGAGTCCGGGTCGATCGGTGAGAAAGTGCTTGGACAGTGATGTGATGTTTCCCCCGAAATTGTAGCAGAACTTTCGAGCGATTGAGGATCATAAGCCATTGCCTTGCTTCCAGGCGGTTTCAAAATCCCTTTGATATCGTTTCTCCTCTTGGTGTGCTCATTGGACAGCTCCTTTTGCTTTTCTAGGTCAGGACAGACCAGAACGTCAGAGAAGCTCACTTTTTTGTAGACATCTCCTGTGCTAGGTTTTCTCTCTTGGATAGAGTCACCGAACTGTTGTGGCGTGAATGTTTGAATTTTCTTATCACGCTGAGAAAATGAGTCTTCCGCGAAGGTTATTTCTGTCATGTCATCTTCAGAGATGGTCATTTGACCGGTGGATTGATCGGTTGCAGTTCTGCTTCGGTTACCGACCGTCGAGGTGATTTCAGCGGTAGGATCGTTGAAATCAAAGCTCGCTCCTTCGGGAGGAGTATCTTTGAAAAAGTTTTCTCTGGCCTGGTTTAATGCGTGTCGATGAGGAAACAATTTTCTGTTGTTGGCTTCGTTTTGCGGTTGAGGGTGAACGTAGCTGGGTCTCAAGTATTTCTGCTGCAAGGAAAACGAATAGGTTTTGTCCGTGGCACTGAAATCATCCTGATTGGCGCTGGAAGCCTCCTTTAAGTTGATGTCACTGCGGAAAGAATGTCGAGCGATTCCTCTTCATGAAGTTACGTCACACGGAAGTGATTATGTAGAATTTCTGATACATCAGCAATTAAAAAAGTATCGTGAAATGAATACTTTCTTTGACATCAACTTAGTACAGCATTCGTTTAGCCAAATTTCTATTATGTGAGTGTTGATCAACTATTTGATTAACCGTGTCCATATTTTAATTAATCGAACAAAAAACAGAACTGTGGGTTAAATAATTTTGATCAACGTGCAAAATGATGCCATCCAGGTCCATCCAATGATGCCATCCAACTCTCATTTTGATGAACCGCGTTCTATTACCAATATACATCATAGGAATCCGTTTCTAATGAAGATTAACTAAAAAATTTTTGAATTTCGGATTCTTTCAGCTGATATAATTCACCCAGTCGTTGAGCAAGCTCTCATTCATATCTTGAAGGTAACAGTTTAGACTTTAGAGCCTCAAATTGTCGAACTAAAGTTGCTTGTCAACTTGTAGGTAGATCTTATTCGTTCATTCGAAAGTACTGTACCGATAAATTGCCCTATATTGCAGAATATTCTTTTCGGACGATTGGTTGTAAGAAATGGTGCGCTTGCGTAGTAAAAGAAAATGTACTTACTCAAGAAATGAAGTGAAATACGAGTGCAAATACTGTACTGTAAAGGAATTCAATACCTGCTGGATTTTTCAACGCAAGGTCCACAGGCATGGCCGGGCTGGTTGGCAAAGGTCCATTCAATTTGCCCACAGAAATACGTCTGCTCCTTGCCAGGTTCTTCAATTGTAGGTTCAGATGATTTGTCTTCCAAAGTATTTGTTTTGGAGGACGAGCGATTCACTCGATGAATGGGATGACTAAGAGTGCACGAAGACTTATTCTCAGAAGCCTCTGACACAGAAATTGAATGGGTGACGGTTTCCGTCGTCTGACTCTCAGAAATTGAATTCTCTGTGAGATCTTCTTTGGATTCCGTAACTGGGCTATTCGTATTTCGACCAGTTTTTGTGGCAGACTTCTCCACCGTGTCAGTTTCAGTTTCGGACATCATGGACTCAGATTTGGGTTCTTGCGATTTGTCGGCTCTGTGCGCACTACCAAATGACGTAGTCTCGTGCAGGCTTTGCGACTCAGCGGAGACACTGCACGAATCTTCCTCTTGCAAACTTTCTGAACTCATCTTATCATCCCCCGATTTGCTGTCGAACTCGCTGAGAACCTGTTCTGAAGGTTGCGACAATTTATCTTTGAGTTTCTGGCTGCTGATCGCCAGAAAACTTCCTTTTGATGTTGCAGATATAGTGGTTCGTTTGAGCTCTTGTAGATGGTCATGGATGATGCGTGGGAACGGAGAGCTTGGCATTGATGACTTAGCATTTCTGATGGATATGCTCTCGGTAGTGAGATTTCGTGACGCATCCGCAGGTGCCACACATTTGCTATCATTTTCCGATTCTACAAGTTCTTCGTGTGTATAACGACATTGGGAAGGTTTCATCACTGCGTTGCACTGCTTTTCGTTGGCTGTAATAAAAGATTAATGGTTGTTTCATCATTTCAAAACTTGCCAAGGACGGATTCCGCGGAAGGATTACTTTCGAAGGTTGAACCGAGCGAGACATGAAACTTCTTCGTACCTTGACCGGGGAGCTAAGATGTCTTCTATCCCAAAACCTAAGTTGCCTAACAATCTCACGTTTATGCATAGAAGGAAAGGAACCAAAAGGTAACCTTAAACTTCTCAACAACGATCTGATGAGGAAAACTTTCATTTTCTCATGTCATAAAAATAGAAATGAGCTTCCTCGAATTGAAGCAAAACACGATGAGTGCCGCCTTTTTTTGCCATTGATTATAGTGCTTATTTTAAATCGTGGTCGGGACTATTGTTACTCACAGACTTGAATCATCATAAAAATAGAAATGAGCTTCCTCGAATTGAAGCAAAACACGATGAGTGCCGCCTTTTTTTTTTGCCATTGATTATAGTGCTTATTTTAAATCGTGGTCGGGACTATTGTTACTCACAGACTTGAATCAGAACTTCGGGGATATTTTCTTCGACATGTTTCCCCATCGAGGAATCCTCGCACGAAGCCAAATGCTTCTTGGAGTCGCTAACTTGCCGAATTTGACCTTCGCTTTCTGAACCTTGCTTGGTTTCCGCGGTATCCTGAGACGATCGTACGTCAGTTGACTGTGTGGTGTCCGGAACACAAATTGGTAGAATTTCTGCGTCATTGCTGGGAGTCGAGTTTTCTGCAGGGAACTGATCTGTCAAATTCCCGCTAATCTCTTTGTTTGACTGTAGCGACGATTCCGCGCACTCCTCAGAAGTCACGTTTTCCGGGATCTCATCCTTCGTATCTTCTACTAATAATGGCGTCAAAAATCAAGTCACTTCATGAGAAAACCGGAGACGATGCGTCATTACCCGAATGCTGTACCAGTGCAAATGAGCTGCCTCCTTCGTGGGGAAGATCTTCAGTAGGTCTTGGAACTGTCAACATCGATGGACGATGAGTTGCTGATGGTACATCGCAACTGAACATTTTATCATCCAGTGTCAACTCTAGTTTATTGGACGCCTCATCGCCACACGCCAAGTTAGTTTTTCCAAAACCTTTTACAGCTAAATTTCCGTGCTGATGAAGGGAACGCTCGTCCAAAGTATCACCCATGATGGGGGAAACAATTTTAACGAGATTTAAGCGGGATGTTTAAAAATCATGAACAAGAAAATGGGATTAATGTTTGGGGTTAAGAGGGAAAACGAAAGTTCCCAGCAAGAAAAGGTTGTTACTAATTGGCTAGTTTCGCCATTGATTGGTTTATACACATGAAACTTCAGGATGTTCCCATGATGCTTTTTTCAATTAATTTCGTGTGAAAGGATAATTAGATATGTTGGGCAAACGAACGAGAATTCGTAAAGGTTTAACAGAATTTCGATCGATTTTCTTCGGGAGAAATTCCGCAGAAATTGAAAAAAAACTGATCATCGTTCAATCAATGTAAAACTACGAGCGTTAAAAAAACCTTGAAGGTAACTTTTGTGACAAGGTCACTGAAATATTCACGCCTTATCATTGCTTGAGAACTGGAGCAAGACAATCAGGTACGTTGTCATTGCATTCGCCATCTGAAAAGTGAAGGCAAACATGCGTAAAATTCAATGTCTACAGTGATGCAGTAAATTTGCTCTTGCCGTAATGATGAGGCATCTGTTCACTGCAAAAAATCCCAAAGCGCTGTAATCAATTGAGAAGGTTTTGCTTTCCGCAAGAATCAGTTCAATCTGGAAGAATTTGATAAGTTTTCGAATTATTTTATTCTTATTTCACGAAGTGTTGAACACTGTACCTGTCGTGATTTTGAGGTTCCTTCTGTGCCGACTGTCTGAACTGCCTCGAGAGTCTCCAAAGATTTTTCTTCCTGTAAAGTAATCGCTGTCTTCAGATTTTTAAAAATATTTAAGATCATTTTTCTCGTTTCAGCATTTTTTGTTATGTCATGATTCGGACAAATACGCATGCTGGGGGTTGCATGAGAAAATACGAGGGATGGTTCATAAATTTCGAAAATTTTTGAAATAGATCCAACAGAGTTTCAAAAATTCCCAATTTTCGTTTTGGTTTAACGCGTGGAAAAATGCGTTGAAATCCGTGGAGATTGAATTGAATCCAAAGTGTTTCCAGATGATGGGCAATGTAAGTGAAAACAAAATTTTGAATTTTGAAGCTCCGTTGGATCGATTTGAACATTCAAAACTTATGAACCCACCTTCGTATGTGCGACGTTATTGCCGAATCATTTTTTCCTTCGCTTTCACATGGAGTGTCCAAGGAACTTTCCGACCTTTATTTTTGATCGTACCTTATTCAGTGCGAAGGGTAAATATACTGAATTTTTTTTCAATTTTCTCAAGCTCGCCATCCTCGATGTCGAACTAACGCAGGCATTTTCAAATCCTCTTTCAACGTAATGTAATTTAATTTTCAAAAGTGTGGAAAGAAATAAAATACCTTGGCAGTATCGGACTTTCTTTGCAATAAATACGTCGAGGAAACGAACGCGTGATCTTTGAAAGATGTGTGTGGATCGGCGAAACCAAATAAGTCTCGGCGTGGAAGAAATTACTATATATTCTAAAGTAGTACAGTATAAAGGGACCAGTTATGATTTGGCATACATTCAGGTGGGAAAGGAGGTCATCTGCATGGGTCATAATCCCTGCAAACTTCGTACCTTTCCCGGTGAACATTTTGTGGTGGATATTCGATGTGCCCGAGGAAATATCTGCACAGAATTATCATACGAAGAGCATTGGTGTTTGTTTCATTTCGAGAAGGAAGACATCTATGGGAGGGAGCCTAAACTATTTTCCCAGGCGAGATTCTTTAAATAATGCTGTAACAGGTGGAGCAACTGTATTTGTTTTATTTCGAAGCATTTTTTGTTATGTCATGATTCGGACAAATACGCATGCTGGGGGTTGCATGAGAAAATACGAGGGATGGTTCATAAATTTCGAAAATTTTTGAAATAGATCCAACAGAGTTTCAAAAATTCCCAAGGTTTGTTTTTGTTTAACGCATGGAAAAATGCGTTGAAATCCGCGGAGAATGAATTGAATAGCACCAAAGTGTTGCCAAATGATGGGCAATGTAAGTGAAAACAAAATTTTGAATTTTTGAAGCTCCGTTGGATCGATTTGAACAATGTTCAAAACTTATGAACCCACCCTCGTATGTCCGACGTTATTGCCGAATAATTATTTTCTTTGCTTTCACATGGAGTGTCCAAGGAACTTTCCGATCTTCATTTTTGTGTACCTCTTTCGTATTTTTGTTTACCTTATTCAGTGCGCAGGGTAAATTTAGTGATTTTTTTATTTCAATTTTCTCAAGTAGCTCGTCATCTTCGATGTCGAACTAACGCCAACATTTTCAAAATCTTCTTTCAACGTAATGTAATTTAATATTGAAAAGCGTGGAAAGAAATAGAATACCTTGGCAGTATCGGACTTTCTGTGCAATAAATACGTCGAGGAAACGAACGCGTGATCTTTGAAAGATACAGTATTTTAATCGAACAGGAACTTCGTGTATGTTATATGTTTCATGTGTGGATCGGCGAAACCAAATAAGTCTCGGCGTCGAATAAATTACTAGATTCTAAATTAGTACAGTATAAAGACCAGTTATGAGAGCAGTTATGATTTGGCATACATTCAGGTGGGAAAGGAGGTCATCTGCATGGGTCATAATCCCTGCAAACTTCGTACCTTTCCCGGTGAAAATTTTGTGGTGGATATTCGATGTGCCCGAGGAAATATCTGCACAGAATTATCATACGATGAGCATTGGTGTTTGTTTCATTTCGAGAAGGAAGACATCTATGGGAGGGAGCCTAAACTATTTTCCCAGGCGAGATTCTTTAAATAATGCTGTAACAGGTGGAGCAACTGTATTTGTTTTATTTCGAGAGGGATGACATCTAAGGGAGGAAACCCACATTTTCCCAGTCGAGATTTCTCGAAGTGATACTGTACCAGCATGAGTCATTGACTCATCGTAGCAAATGTTGCTGTTGGGTGAATAGGGAAGGGTCTATAATACTTTTATAGACTTCCTGGAGGTAATGAATGGTACAGGTGCTACCTCGCAATTCGACCATAATCCATTGCCAAACTAGGGTCGAATAGCAAAGCAGTCAAATTGTGAGACACTTCGTTAATTTAAAAAATATCAGTACTGTAAAGCAAACACATTGGCCAAAGCAGGTCAAATTGCGAGGTACCACATGTAGTTCTTTTTTGCTCAAAAATACAGTGAGACCCCAAGATGCGGACATAATTGGTGCATCAAGAGTGTCCCCAAGTTGAAATGTCCCTGAGTCAAGTCTTGTTTTCTTGTTGACTTACATTATATAATTTGTAATTGATGTTTTGGGGAAGAAATATTCTTCAGAATTCCCTGAAAAAAATGTTTGCCACATGAATTTGAAGTAGTGAATACTTTTTTAACTCAATAAGAACATTTGATGCATTGAATAGTGTATCTCTGTACTGTACACTGAAATTCTGGCATCTACAAAAATAACATCAAAGTGAAAAAAAGTAGAAGTCATCCCTGTATGCTGGAGGTAATTTTTTTTAATATTAGCCAAATGGATGGTAATTTGGTGAGTATTTGCCCAAGAACTTTTCTTACATCAATTTCAGGGTTGGAAATATCTATTTCTCATAATTTGGTCTGAAACTTATATGATATTTTATCACAAAATGTCCCTAGGTTGAGTCAGTGTCCTCATGTCAGGCTATTTATTGATTTTTTCTGAGAAAATAAGTTTCCCTATGTCGAATTGTCTGCAGGTCGAGGCGTCCGCATGTGGGGGTCTCACTGTATGTTGATAGTGGCTGGATCCCCAGCGAACAATCACAGCCAAAATGAAGTGACGGCATGGTACCCTCGTTAATATCGGTAAATACGATCACACTCATGAGAAAAATTTGTTGAAAGAATAATTACTTACTGCGCATGATATCCGCTGCACAGCGATAGAAACAACGATTATCCCGGCCAAATGAGCGCAGCCCGTGCACAAAAACGAAGCCGTCAGGATCCCAGTGTAATTGATCCCGGGTGTCAGCAGTTCCATATTCGTGTTGTAAGCAATGACGCAGAATTGCACCCCATGATACACCACGCTTGCCAGCAAAAACGGTCCCATGGCATCCAAAAACCCTCGCCAAGCTTCGTCCATCAAACCGTAAACATTTCTGATCCTCACGAGCGACTGAGGATGATGATGATGCTGGTCCTTTGCTGCTGCTGGTGATGATGATGTCTTGATGACCATCACGGACTCCACAGCGATATCTCCCAAGGTCTTGTACTGGTCTTGAATCCGCTTGCTTACAATCAGAAGCAACAGGGTCCACCAGGCTGCAGAGGCCTTGCTTTGGAATACACTGAACACTGCCAAGGATGATACGATTTTGGTTCGGGTAAGGGGAGTGGGCTTATTGTCGACGTCTCTTGTTTGCGGAGTGAGTGTTGCACACCATGCTGGGTAAACACTCAGGCCGGCCGCGATTCCGCAAAAAGTAACGGCGTTTTTGATGGATGCTATCAGCATTTGCCTGGCGTGATGATCCCGTCGGGGATTGAGTGTGCGAGGATTTGATTGATTGAGGTCACGAACAGCGTCGAAAGCGTCGTGGAGTGTCCGGATCGCTCCCAGGAATTTTCCGATTCTCGCGAGAGCGAATATCGGCAGGATGAGCCCGAAACTCGTTTCGAAGATGAAGTATAATGCGACTGAAATCCGCGTGGTTTCTCCCACATTCTGCAAGGTGTTCAGCATTTCCAACACAAGGTACAGAACCTAGTTTTTCCGTTTTTCTTTCTTTCTTTTCCCTTACTGAAGCGTCAAGAACAAACAAGACCTTACTTAACTCGCGCAGGGTTTAGTCGCTGCGCTTGAACGTCATGTAAATTCCAATAGAAAATACAATAGAGAGAGAGAGTCCCCACATAACGAAACATTCACGCAACGAAAAATCTTGATTAGGAACATTTTAGACAGAAACTGTGACTGAAATCACCAAATGCCTTCACTTGATGACATTTTCGGTCCCTCACCAAAAAACGCGCAAACTTCAACAATTTTGAGGTGAAACTTGCGAAGAACATGTACAACTACATTATTCTTATATTTTCTAATTTTTCTTGAGTTCTCAAAATTTCTCAAGATTTTAAATGAATGTCAAGGGTTTTTCAAAAAAGTCAAGAAAAAAGAGGAGAGCCGTTTTTTCACATTATCTTGTCTTCGCAATTTGAGAAATTCAGAAAGATATGTGGAAGATGTATCCGGATTACTTGAATTTCTTTCTAAAGAATATTAAATTCAGAATTTTCTGCTGAAAAATGCACAAATTTTATGATTCATTGTGGCTTTTTAGTAAGTAGCTGGAACCAATTAAATCA